AGGATATAGTACAGGAAGAAAGATTTAGTACGTAGAAAGAAAGATATGAAGCGATGTTAATCTTTTAGTTTAAGGGAAGACAAAGAGTGTATAGACCGACGCCATTGCGATCAATTCTGAGCCATGTCACCAAGAGTCTAACCATTGGTTACAATAGTCACGCGAACCCAAACCAAGTAGTCTGCATCTACCAACATGGCTCAGACCACAAAATAGTGACTTCAAGCACTGATGCCACGTTTTGGTTTGGCCGCCCCTAGCTTTCTTCCAACCACCCCGAACACCGGTTAGCATTGCACGTCGTGGTAATCGGTGTTCAGGCATACGTGACACGTGACCCAACCATCTCAGTCGATGAAGATTCACAACCTCATCAACTGATTTACCATCATTCCCTAATACCCTGCGTCTAACCTCACTATTACTTACCTGGTGATCCCAACAGATGCCAGCAATATTTCTAAGGCATCTGTGGTCAAATACTAGTAGCTTACGAGTATCTTCTACTCTTAGTGGCCATGTTTCGTTGCCGCAAATTAAAAGAGAACGGACTGCCGCGCAGTATACTTGTCCTTTTATTGATAGACGGATATCTTGCCTTCGCAATAGGTGACGTAAGTTGGCAAAAGCCAAACGAGCTTTTCGAATCCGTGCTGAGATTTCGTCAAACACCAACCCATTAAAGCTGACCAGACTTCCAAGATAAGTGAAGTTGTCGACGCGTTCGACTACTTCACTCCCTATTTTAAGTTCAAGTGTTGACGCAGATCAGTCCTGAAGCAACAACTTGCATTTAGAGGGAGAGAACTGTATTCCAAACATTCTGGCATTGTTGCTTAGTGCCACCAAAAGACTCTGCATTTTGTAAGCGTCTTCACCAAACAGGACTATGTCATCTGTGCATTCTAAGTCGATAGGTGGACCTTCTGGAAGGAGATCAATGCCTGAGAATTCAGTTGACGAGAGCGTTATTTCCAGCAGTAGGTCTGTGATGGAGTTAAACAGAAATGGACAGCCAGCTGAACATCTTTTTTACGTGACCCGCCCATCCTTCTAAACGTCTGTACTGAGAGTAGATAAGTGCCATCGTTTTCCGAGATTGTCTCACACTTTACTTTTTAATTCCGGTTTCGTTTATTAATCTGAAAAGCTGTCTTGTGTCACCTACGGCCCCTGCCTCTTCCATTTCTTTTGCTTTCGCTGCCCACCACTACTCACAGTCATTCCTTAGACTTTTGGTTAACGTAGATCTGATTTGTTTTCGCTCTTCATCGTGTTCAGAGCCTGAAGGGATGAGTTTATGAGAATCTATCAGTGCAATAAACTTAGTAGAAATCTTTTGGTTCTTCGTAACCCTTTGGTTCAAATCACCAATAAGGGGTCGCCATGTTAGACGATGTCTCTCCTTATGTCGAAAATTAGTGCTTGTTAAAAATAAACGATCGTCTAAGCATAGTTGCAACAGATGATCACCATTATCTGTTGGCTGGGGCGGAATACTCAAATACTCACCTAAATGTCTTTCTATTTGGTTTAAGCTACCTACTTGGGCATCAGTGTCACCTGCGACTAGTACTATGTCTGTGTTTAGTTTTTGAAGAGGTTCAGAAAGCTTTCTGTAACATTCATCTTTCATCGGCTGCAGTCAATGGGAGCGTAGTCAGAAACGACGAGAAGGCAACGACGTGTGTTCCTACCCTTCTGAGTGCTTGAAGAGCCATTTAGACGAAGAACACATAGGCGACTGTTAACAGGGAACCATTCTAATAGTACTTGTTCTGCCCTTGTACTTAGTGTTATACCTGCACCCGCCAGTCCACGAGAACTAGGCATCGGGTCGCCGGATAAAAAGAGGGTGTATCTCATCGGTTCTTTGTTTTGGCGAGGTGAGGTCAAGTGAATGACCACACTAGGATCCTTTGTGCGTGTTTCGTAGACACAATATTCATGAATGGTACGAGGTTCTAGGGTTTTAGCCAAAGAGACCTGCTGGCCGATTTGAAATAGGATGTGTACGTTGAAGGCTTCAATGTGTAGTTTGGAGCGAGGTTTCAGCAGACCTGAGAGTCTTTTGCGGACTAGAATCGTTGGCCATAGTGGCACTAGAGGAGGAAGTCTAGGGTTGAAAGTCGACGAAGGAGGAATAATAGGAATTGAAGAGGGAGTTTGATTATGAATACAGTGGTCTTGAGTGCTGCTAGAGGTATGATGGCGGTTATCACTTCCCGGTTGCTCACATTGTGGAAGGGTTCTTCTAAGGGTACCTGAAAAAGAAAATTTGTTTAGAGTTAGTCTTAGTGACCACAGTGCACAAGGGAAAACTGCTTGAGGCCGGTCACACACGACCTTTTTGTGAGTAATGTTCGCGTTACCTCCGTACTTGTTGAGCCTTACCGCTGGAGACGGAAATCCGTGAGATAAAGCAGTGTATATTTTTAGGGTCGACCGTTTCTAACTCCACCCTTCTACATGAGAAGGTGGCATCGCTGTTATGCTAGTTCTATGAAGGAAACACCTTACAGCCATCACACATCTGTGCATTTAGAAGTACGACTTTCGCCCTCGGACTTGGGTTTGCTGCTTTTAGTCTTATATCAATTCAACTGAACTGTCTGGCATAATAGAACCTTGAGGAACGATTGGTTCATTACGATAGGCAAGTCTGACCATCTTGTCAAGGTGGCAGCATATTCTAGATGATTTAATATCGTATTGAAATCACGAGGTGATCAATGTTAGACCACTATTGAAAAGCTGGAAGCACTAGACGACAGTTTTGTCCTGGTATAGGACTCGTCAACACAACGCGTCCACATAACCTCAATCAGGAATCCAATAAATAAACTTAGGTCTCACTCGAACACTTAGCCTCCAGATCATTGAGTTGGCATCCAGCGTTATTAATGTGTAACTTCAACCAATCCACAATATCGTGTTACCATCTTTTATTACCTTGAGCAGGTAACTGCCTCACACCCGACACAGTTTAGCTCCACTCGTCACTTCTCATTAGAACACAGGGAATTTCCTCTTGAAGTTGATCACTAGTGAGCACGTGATAGCTGTGTAAAGTTATATAGATTGACGAATTTCACTGAGATCGCAAAGCAAAATCAAATGCTCCTGGTTCCCGATAGCAGGACTATAGACACACACTGCTAACAAGTTTCACACTAAGACAAAATTGGTGTCTAGTGGTTTCATATTTTCAGTGACATTCTAACTTCGATCGATCCGTAATCTGCCCAACCCTATATTGATAATTTGATATTGGATCATTACATTTTGGAAAAAAAACACTGTTTTAAGAATGTACTATTTAACAATATTCATTGATAGTTTTTAACAACGAAAAGCAAGGATCTTTTGAATTAAACGATACAGTTGTGAATCTGTTGCAAAACTAGACCAACTTCTCATTTACACACTAATCATTTTGTATTTTCATGGCTTAACACAAGATAAAATCTAGATAATTTAGTATCCAACTGAAAGATGTGTGAGAAAATTTCTTATATTTGGTATACAGAGATATATATTAACTTTGACCTCATCGTTCATGTATTTATCAACTATCCACTACATGTAATAAAAACGACCTCAAAACAAAATTACAAAAAGCATTCATTCGTCTCCATCTAAACAGGAATGAATAAAAGAATAGACAAGCAACAGACATACATAATAAATTGAATATGACATCATTTATAATTTAGATTAATCACACATAACAAATAAAAACTCTAGACGATCGGATAAATTCTAGGTCAAGGTAAACATTTACACGCATACATAGTGGGAGGGATATGAATAATTAAATTAAAATAAGCCTAATAGAAAGGGAAGAACAAATACGACTGACGATGTATTCATGTTATTATAACAACCATGACCTTTCACGGTATAGGTACACAGGCACACACACGTACGTGTATAAGTGACAATACTTACCGTTGAGTAACAAGGACAAATTAGATTAAACAAGTGCAAATTATAACTGATTATTATTTTTCTAGCTTTCTGATGAAGCTGAATTATACCACCGAGCCAATAATAGACGTGTAAATCACTTTGAGATCATAGTCCAAATATAATATGGAGTTGGGGTTTTCATCAAAGATTAATAAAATTTGTAATGTTAGAATACTTTGTAACGATATATATGAAAGAATATCGTGATGAGACAAAATATTCAATAGTCTTTGATGTATTGTGTTTGGTCAAGTGGACAGACATCTCTAGGTTATCTAGCGGTACAGTTCAACTTTACGAAGGATGAAAAGATAAAACTTGGAGAACAGTATATACATAACATACGAAAAATGGACAGTAGGCATTGATGATGAAAATAAATGTCATCAAATTAAATAAATCATTGCGGAGATTGTTGGATTTCACTGAAATCATAAATCAATCAATGTTAAACGACCAGTGGGAACCTGGAAGCACTGGACGAACGTTTCGCTCTAGTATGGAACTCCTCAGCACTACGTATCCACATACCTTCAACCAGGAATCCAACGAACTAACTATGGTCTCACGCTAACACTAAACCTCCAGACCTCCCACCCGACACGGTTCAACTTCAATGGTCGCAGCCTCTCACTAGAACTCCGAGAATTCCCTGTCGAATTTAGTTACTAATGTGCACATGATAATTTTCAGCATAAATAAATCAGGTAAACGGCAAAAAACTGTTGCTCTACGGTGCTAAGTTCGTTTATCCAGTTTTCTATTTTATTCAAACAGAACTGACGGAAATGCTTAATTCAAAATTTCTCTTCTACATTGAATAATCTTCTTGACTTACATTTTTCGAATACTTTTTAAACAGTAGATGATGGAAGACAATCACTGCCGTAACCTATGAGGTACAGACGTCAGCTGTTATTAAACTATCATTAGCTTAATACAAAATCATTTTCAATTAAACAATCAAATGATCCACCATATGTTTTCTTATTGTAAAAGACTGGTTTTTCATTAGCGATAACTCGAGATTATTTGAACAGTTTTACTTGTAATGAATATAATGAAAGATAATAAGTAATTCGATTTGTGAAACACTGAAACGTGATTGAATTCGGAGCATAGTTACAATAAGAAAAAAATTACTATTAGTTACTTTAATTTGGACTCCAAGACTGTACCCCGGTGTCATAACTGTTATCGTAGTTTCAATTGTTGTTCCGATTGAATATATATCATTATTTAGACAAAATTAAACTTGGTCGATTGTCGACTAATAGACAACTAACACAAATGGTATGGAAAGTAATTTTGGAGTTTAAAATGAAAATTTCATAAAATTACTGTATAGTGAAAATCAAATGATACAAGTATGCTGAATCAGAGAATAACTGATGTCTATCTAAGTAACAAGTTAGTTTCGACCACGAACATTTGCATGAATAAAACCATTAGCCATGAAATATAACATCAAAGGTAACCATACATTGACACACACAGAGAATAGAGTAAAACACTGACACAAAAGTTACTCGATATCTCTTAGAAATAAAGTATAGTACAACCTAATAAACAATTTTAAATTTCTTTATCAACGTTATATTTATTATCAGGTTGAAAAGGAACTGAAACTAGGTTAATATATTTATATATGAGCCAAAATGACTTGTCGTACGTATGTATAGGAGTTTTCAAGTAATAGAACAAAAAATATTTAACAAAACATCGGGCTAAATTAATTACAAACACTGGATAATATTCATTATTATTATCATCAACTGCCGCCCCTACTGATTAAAAAGGGATATGAAAACAAGCAAACAAATCGCTGACAGTTCACTACGCATTAGACATAAATTTAAAAAAGGCGAAAGTTCAGTAATGATGAAAAAGAAAGATGACCAGAACACGTAAAGATTCTTTAAAAAGTACAGTGAACAATGACCGACAACATCTCTCTCAAAAATGGATAAAACCCAACAAAAATTAACAGAATCGTCATGGTAGTTGATTCCCAACTAAAAATGCTGAATCTCAACAGGAAAACTTTATAATAATTAATGATTGGGTTATAAATCATATATATATATATATATATATATATATATATATATATATATATATATATATATATATATATCATACAGAAACCCATGTGAAACAGACCACCACTAACCGGGTAGTTGTTAAAGATAAAATAAGCATACATTAATAGTAACAACAATGATAATAATAATAATAGTAACGATATTCAGTGGCATACAAAAAACCCAGTGGAAAATTACGGCGCTCACTAATGAGGAAACAAAACAAAAGAATTCCCGTAAAAGAGACAATTTTCAATCAACCATTTAAACATGTACACCTGCTAACAAATATAACGATGAAGATGGTGTTGTCGATAATGGACATAGGATAAACGGATACAATTGTGTTATTCTTAAAAACGAGACTATTGTGCAAGACATTATTCTCAACTGAGGAAGTATGATACAAATAAAATGACAATGACAATAAGGGAAAGAACTATTTGTCTGAACATCATTACTGACATAAAATGAAGTAAATAAAGTACCTGGTGTTACAAAAAACCAAAGAGGAATTAAGGCAGTAATAAATAAGCAGGGTAATATGTTAATATAAAGAGAGTCTACAAACAACATGGAATGATTAACTACACAGAAATGAAAAACATTAATAATAATAATGCGTAAGACAGTGTGGCGAATAATTTCTTATTTACGTTTTCAAATTAAAAACGGAATAAAGGAAAATGGTTGACAATCGGGAGGGTAAGTTGAAGGAGGTAAAGAAATACATAATCAATGTCAAATTGTCATCAATGAATATTTGGCATTAATCTAACATTATAGACTTGCATTCAGAAGGATTAAAACATTTAAAATAATAGTGACATAATAATCAAGTGACAACACACAACTGTAATTGAGGACAAATTGAACTTGGATTAAAGTTAGAAGTGTCGTCGGGAGCCTGAAATCCAGTGAAAGGAATAACAATAATATTAATAAGTATTCAATAATTGTTTTTATTTTTATTTAGGAGGTATTCGAAAGACGTCGGAAAAGATACTATTGACAAGAGATAATTTATCCTGAACATTAACAGTTATCATAACAATAATCAATAAATAAGGGATAGCTTCATCGGTTCAACTGACAGATGTGCAAGGATGATCTGGGGAGCCCATTTGACTAAGGACACGATCAAGCCATTGCAGAGGTCCATTTAAATGAATTTCAATCCAACATGGAGTGCTAGTTACAGTTTGTCGGCTGAAAATAAGAAAAAATTAGGTAAGACGGTAGGTGAATACACACAAAATGGTGACGCCGCACACACAGAGGGTAAGTCAGTAAAGAAAGGATAAAACATTAACAAGTCAAAGAGAAAAAAATCGAATAATGAAGGCGAACAGTCGGTGTAGCTGTAGGCAGATATTAGAAACTAAGCTGATTATTTTTAGACAATATGTCTTTGCCTATCTGAAAACTCTCATTAACTTTTTACAACATATAACACTTAACAACATACGTAGATGTGATCGGCGAAGTATACGGGAAAATCCGTTTTCAACCTGAATAGTGCTTACAAGATCACATACTTAGGAAACAAGTAAACTAGCTATCCTCAAAGAAGTATAGTTTAGTACAGATATTTGAATTCGATCATGAATTCCAGCTAGTCAATGATTGAGGAATTTAGTTAATGAAAATAAGATGACGATCTATATAGCTACCATACTGTTTAATGATTACACTAGAAACAAAGAGGAGATAGTCTACAATTTATGATGTATACACCTTAAGTAAAACAACAATGAGTATTATTTAAATGAATATTTGACTTAAAATTCAATCGTATTTTGAACAAAGAACATAAAACACCGGTCATGACAGTCTTCTTAAAGAAAGTTAAAGATCCAAAGATCAAGATTGTTTATTTGAAATATTAAACAAATTACGATTAACAAAATTTGCATTGTATAGTTTTACTTATTTATTTTTAAATAACATTGAACTAATTTTGATGTGAAAATTGCTTAGTACAATATAGTACCAAAAAATGTTTCCATACAAAAGGAAAGAATAAAGTTAAGGGTAAGTGAATGAAGTGAAATTGTATGAAAATAATAACAAGAATAAGAAATCAACAGAGATTTCCCTAAAATCTATTGGCATTTATGACTTAATTTTGACAAGTCTTTGTTGGTATATATGGATTTTGAGTTTATCTCTAAAAATCTAAGGAAAGTATGAACCGAACACAGATAATCATCAGAAATCCTCAATCACAGAAAACCAAACTTGTCAAGCACGAGTAAGAACTACTTACAATGAAGTATTAAACAACCAGTTCTCTATGAGCAGTAGTGTTTAATTCTATCTCCCGCTATACACAGATAAGTCTCTTCTAACACTAATAATTATGTAGTGTGTCGACAGATATAAATAGCATGTAACATCAAACGCAAGTTAAATGACTGGAGGTAGAAGGTTAAGAAGATCGAAGAAAAAGAGAACGATAACAGAGAATAATTGGTGTGAAAATGAAAGAACAATGAAGTCTGAGATGATTGATTGACATTTTGCAAATGAAGTATTTACTTTATGGTTCTCAGATTTTACTAAGATGCCCTGTAACTACGTGTTTAAATACATTTGGCCGTCCCCGTTCGTGTTCTCGGTCACTACAATTACACTCATACAGTCATTAAAAAAGATGATATAGTGAACAAAAATTACTGCAGTAGCGTTAGTGTGCGAGTGATTGACACCCGGTCGTCCATAATGCGAAAAAATAATTCTATCTAGGGGGGGGGTCAAAGACGAATGAGATTAGTAGTGATGGTCTTGTAGATCTGGGAAGAGACAGTCATTTAAAACCAATTGTACTCGAGATTTTCGAGTTCCTATCGGTGTATGATCCTTAAATGTCAGACATTAATCCAGGTGCTGTAAATCCGTGTGGCAAAATGAAGTAGTTTATTCGCAGGATCCATATTCTTTAACTCCAACTTTATATGTGAGAGGGCAACAACACTTAATATGCTAAGCAATACCTTACAGCTTCCATTTATTAGTATAACCAGGAGTATGATATCGTTATTCAACCTTAAGTCGATTCCGTTTAGCAAGTGCTGCCCTCCTATCAGCTTGAAGGAACAAGTTTTCTAGCCAAAACAGTCCTGCTGAATTATCATGACAGGTGAAATCAACCACCATGTCATGGGTATCAGATATGATCTGGCCAAATAATATCAACAGATCTCATACACATAAAATATACCTCATGTAAAATCACTTGAATATTGTATAATATTGCATAGGATACTGAACATACCGATAATCAGCACCCCATCCTTTGACAAAACTCATTCGTATAGTACACATATTTGTTAGTGAATAAACAGCTTCAAAACCTTTAGTTACATTCTCTGTAAGAAGATTAGCAAATTCTTGATTATTGAATATTTTTAAATTACATCCAGGTGGAATTTTACATACAGTTGCTGGATGCCATTTATACATATAATTGCAATTAGGAGATTGTACAAATATAGCACTGTCACTTAAACATTCTGCAAACACTTCACCGCCAATATAATAAAGTTTAACACCTTTACCTATTTCCAAAGAAGAAGAAGAAAAGATAGTAGTAATTAAGACAAGGAACAATACACATGAAAAAATCACAATTTATCGATCGTCTACATTCACCAACCAATATAGAATATTCATATAAATCTGTCCCAATAGTAATATTGAAAATGAATACCTCTGGTATTAAGGAATGAAAGAAATTGAATGAATGTAATCAAATATACAATCTTTTGTAAAATTTTATTTATAACAAAAACTATTATAATTAATCATAAATTTACTGTTAAAATTGAAACAAAACTGTGAGTTAACAATCCGCAACACCACAGCTACGTATTAGTTCGAATCCCGGTCTAACTATTTCAGGAGGGTAGTATTAATAGCTCGTATAGACAAAAATGCTGTTCAGAGCCACGTAAACGAAGGTGTACATTGTAAATGTTATATAAAAAAGACTGAGTAGTGCTAATAGTTCCTTTCGAGCGTTTTCAAATTACTGTGCATTACAAAGCAAAATTATTCACAGTAGTGAACCCATCCCAACTTTATTGACAGAACTTGGTCAGTATCACGTAACAGATAATATGAAATCCGTTTACTACTCACTTTTATAGAAGAACTGAATAGCTAACTAATAACATATTTCATTGTGATAGTGGTTAATACGGATTCGACTGTCAGTTTCTTGAAGAGTGCAAACAAAAATTACTGAGGTAATTTTAACTAGCATGAAATCTAGACACAGGGCATCCTAATGATTGGCTTCAACTACCAAACAGTGCTAGCATTAATTACATGACAGTAACCAAGACAACTAAAAGCTTATTATTTTACCATACTAGCCATTCACATTTAGAAATCTATGAAAAATACATTTTATACAATAAAACAGTAATCTAGTTAGTAGAATTGCATATTATCTAAACAAGGAAATCAAATATTTTGAATGTAAGGTAATTTTGATAAGAGTGAAATGATGATAATGAACGTTGACTTAAGTTGATTTTTATTACTTACACTAGTAATTTATAATCTCATAAAGAGAGAAGGGCAAACTACCTACATATACACGTCTGAAATAACTTTTTTTTATTAGATTTTGAACTTCTTATATATATCAATCACTACAGGTTGAGAAACTAACCAATAATAACAGTTACTAACCAAGAGTAAATTTTAAAAGAAATTAATATTAAATATAGCTTAAATGAAAACCAAATAATTAATAGAAATGTATTATACAAGTAACAATAGATACTGGTTACTGTGTTATAAATATACATACTAATAGTCTATAAATAACACACAACAGATATTGGAAAGTAAGCTTGGCAATTAAAAATGTCATAAAAAAGAAACAACGATACACGACTATTATTATTGTTTTATTTAGCCTAGAAAACCTTCCATCACTTAACTATTTCGATCGTAAATGACTGCATTCACTAGCACACATACACACACACACACGCTCATGTATGTACGTACACACACACAACCATTAACTTCAAAGGACACACTGGATAGTAAGCTTGACCTATAAATCGATTTATATTGACATACATATTTTTCAATCACATTCCACTCCTCATCGATCTGTTAGAAAAATCAATAAAAACAGTAAGTACCAGCTTTAGGATGTCGATTTCCCAACTTTACCCACCACCCAGTTCACATTTTGGGTAGAAGTAGAAAACTTTTGTTTTGTTTTGTGTCGTAGAAACAGGATAGCGGGAAGCAAAAAAAAAGATGAGAAAGAAGTAAGCTAAAAATGGATTGATCAAATAAACTATTTGTTGTTATCTCTTTATATGAAATCGAATTCAACCGACTGAATGTGAGAAAAATCAATGTGACAGTTGAAGATGAAAAAAAACAACTTCCGAAAGCCAAACAACAACAATAAACAAGGAGAACATTAATTGAAGTGTTGGATCATTAATTCATAAAAACAATTCCAATAAACATGTAAATGAATTTTGAATGAATGTTTGTCAAGCACTATAAACGCTAACTAAAATACAAGGATAAATTAAATATAAGATCCAATAACGATGTTTCAAGATTTATTCTCAAAGATTTAATATGACTAAGGATGAAGCAAAATGTAATCTCACCCTAGAAGTATTCACACATTATTAAACATTTACAGTTTGTTACTGAGAAATTATATTGCAAGAGGAAACTCCACCGAGAATACTGTTTGTTCTAGTTCAAGCACAAAAAATATTGTGACACCTCTTAAAACCAACTATAACCATTACAAATGAATAAAATACTTATCATTTTGGATCAAATTACCTAACCTGGATAGCCTACTTGATTATTCATACGAAGCATATACGAGCAATGTTTGCATTTAAAATATGCCATTAAAAAGTTAAGACGTTTATGACTTTGCTAAACGCACAATAAAAAAAAACATTAAAATTTCATTGGCTTATTATAAATTATCTAAGTTTTACAGTCTATTCCTACAGGTTAGGAGTAATGGGTGCAAAATCTTCACAAAAGTAACGTGGTGGTCAACATGTACTGCTTACTTAAAGTTGATAGTAACATCTGGTAAATGCAGGGTCTTTAGGCCATCTAAGTAACAAACAGCAACAACCCCAGTGACAGTGAAGCAATCCATAGATTTGATAGTAAGTTCACGAATGGCTTATAAAAACGCAACAATATTTTGTTAGGAATATTTATTGCACTATCAGTGATCCTACTATTCAGTGCTGTTTAGTCAGCAAGTAACCGATCAACTTAACGAGGGATAAAAAAATAAATAATAAATCACCTAGTCTGAAAGACATAGGCTTAACTTATCGTAAAGTAAAGCGATTGTCGTACACGTCCTCAAAAGTGAGTTACGTAGTGTGTGATAACAATTAGTGTGTATCTGCTACTACTTCCAACATATTTTATGAATGATTTCGAACACGTGTAAGATTAAGTTGAGAGGAGTAGCCCAACTTCATCACTTCCCCTTCACTTTCTATCAAAATCCTTGGACAGTGTAAACTGAAGAATGTTGTGTTTATCGAACATCTCAGTCAACAGAGTTTAGAATCTTTCTGTATTTAAATTACATTACTTAAATTTCTGAACATAGTCACAATTATAAATTAACATTGTAACGCGAAATTTCGGAAGCAAGATACAGAATAGATGAATCTGCTTTACTACGACTGAATGCGAACTATATCACCTAAGGCCTTCACAATATTTGATCATGACTATCGCGCAGACCACAACTAGGGTATAGTTTATCTACTACATATAGTATCTGGCATTCTGAGGGTTTCTTCATGCTAACTTATTACTGAGCTATGTTTATTGAAGAAGGGATTAGAGTAGCACGTATAATACCAGTCATATATAAATTACCTCAGTAGATGGGGGTTTATCAAAATATTGTCAAGGATTATAAACAGTAAAAACATCGACTGAGCCGTATCGTTGTAAGAAATAAGGTTTTAATAACAAAATGATCATTATCGGGAGGTTTTGTGGAGATTTTAGTAATTTCAATTGTTGAGATCATGAGCCAAAACCCCTTTCTGATAATAATCAACATATCATTCACTAGTGACTGGCTTCAAGTTGAATATCCTGGAGTTCTAGTGAGAGGCAGTGACCAGTGGAGTTCAACCGGGTCGGTTCTGAGATAGTAACTCACTGATGACAATGGTGGATGTGTCACTCAATTTCTTGGACTAGTTGAAGTTAGACATTAACACTGTTTAATACCGGCTCAGTGGTCTAGTGGTTAAGTGCTCGCGCGCGAGATTAGTAGGTCCTGGGTTCGAATCCCGCGGGGCGGGATCGTGGATGAGCACTGCTGAGGAGCCCCACAATAGGACGAAACGGCCGTCCAGTGCTTCGAGGTTTTCCATGGTGGTCTAGCTTCAAGCGACTCATGATCCCAACAATTGAAACAAAGTTATGCATTTATGAAGTTCTACTAACCAAGTGCAGAATGTCGACTGGAAATGTTGAGATTCATATATTAGAAAACATTGGTAAGCCGTAACTTCAAGTGTGACTGATGAAAATTTGTGGTACTTACGTTAATCATAGCCTACTTTCTTGTCCTGTAATCGCTCATTGGTTTATTCAAATTAGCACATACTACCGGCACATGAATATGGGGAGCAATGATGCCTAACCGGTTGTCTAAACCGAAGTGGTGCGGAGCTTGAATACAGGAACTAGTGATTGAAAACCGAGCACTTTAATCACTGAGCGATCAATCTACGTACTCATTAGTAACTTGAAGTTATTATTATAATAGATAATTATATTATGCATTCTCATTACTTGCTTCGTTTGTGTTGATCACAAGTACTAAAAAAACACTGGTAAAATTTTCTATAGTACTAAGTAAAACGTATTTAAACATACAAATATCTAGTCAACTTACCAATATGCCTTCTAGTTAGCTCAATCTGATGTCCTCTATTCACATTGGATAATAGACCTAAACAGAAACGATTATGTCTATTTGGATCGGTGAAACCGTCAACAGTTAAACATGGACTAGAACAATGAAATGTATCTCCAACACGAGTATTCATTTCATAATAATATAATGAACACCAATATTCAGGTTCTTGATAAGCTACTGAAGTCATTTCATTTCCATCAATAAGAACATCACTTAACATATCTGGAAAAAAAATAAAACACACAAATGAAAGACTCATTGAGAAAAAAGACTTTGTAGTCTATATGGAACTTTATATGAATAAGAAGAATGGAAAGACTGACATTGTAGAAGATATTTACTAACCTATGCTAAAATAATACGTATATGTAGGCTAATATCTACATGAAAATTATTCAGATACATATTATAGATGAAAGTGAGAAAATAGCTTATCAAGTAACTGTTTTCAATGCAGCATATAGACTTATGAAACTTGTGTGATGAAATTGTTTCCGCTTCCCCACCCCACCCCATCCCTGAAAAAGTATCGTTCTTAATTAAATTTGATGATTTTAATCGTTTCTAATTTTCATATTGTAATACTATTTTCATTTAACTTTTCTGATTTTTTTTTTGGTGCTTAATTTCAATTTCTATGTAACTTAGTTTTTACATTGTCTAATGACATTCCTGGATATTTTATTTTGTATTTATAGTTAAAGAGAAAACAAACATTAATCTCTAATAGAAATTAATCTTTAGTTTTGTGAAAAATCAATAGCTGGAAAGAAAGTAGAATTGTTTAAAGGTTTATTGGTTACGTTCATTTATATTCTAGAGAAAACATGATATGATTTATTAAATAGGTTAAGTTTACACATTAATATACTTTGTTCTACTAGAATGTTCTTATGACAAAAAAATTTCAATATAAGATTGAAAGGTGTGTAATATATTATGAATTTATAGTACTATTTGTAAGTACTTCAAAATCATGAAGTGAAGGATTTTATTTGAAGGTAAGCAACCTTAAGTATGATGGAAATCGTTCTGTTTACATTCACTAATTAAATCTGCTCGAATTTAACCCCAATCGTGTAAATACAGTCAGTCATAATCAACGTAAAGCCTGGAAGAAAATTTATGTCAGTACGTGTTTCCGCACCATATCACTACAACGAAATGAAATTCGTATGATGAATAGCATAGAGAACGACAGAATTATGGTAGTAATGATAGCAAGAAAGATTAAACGACGAGACCTCAGTTCAAGAATACGGAATAAAATCTATATGAAAGGAGTGTAAATACAATTACTGTTTTTTTATTGCAATGAAATTTAAATGTACAGTTACATGAATATTTGCAAGAGGTGTCTTTACGGTAAATAAACTCGACTGTTGTATAATATCGAAACTGTACAGAATCAAATGATTGGTAATGTTAAGTACTGTAAACTATTTGGTGTAAACATAACAACGTAATTACTTGAACAACTCAGACCTTACACTCTCACACTTAGAAGGTTGAATTTATTTAGGGAATAAAGGGGCAGTTTGTGAACTTAATTGAAAATAGCTGTGCAATCCTTTTTTTCACATTTTTAATGACTCTTCGGACTGCTATTGTATTCCTGTCATTACTATACCAGTTCTTGAACTTTTCATACATACAAACAAAACTAATATGTCTCAACGTATCAATGAAATCATGAATCAAATTTAGTTAGACCACCATTGAGAACCTGGATTAACTGTACGGGCGTTTCGTCCTAGTATGGAACGACTCAGTAGTGTGCATTCGTACGATGAATAAATATTTTACCAAACTGCCAATTAATTATGAAAACACGTAGCTAGAAAACATGTTCAAAAAATATATACACTTACATAAATAATAACTGAAGTCATCTATAAAAGTAATTACATACATATGCAGACAAGAAACTTTAGTACACATTGATGAAACTATTAGATATCACAGGTTGAAATCATGAGTCAGTTGAAGCTAGACCACCATTGAAAACCTGGATGCGCACTGCTGAGGAGTCCCATACCAGGACGAAACGGCCGTCCAGTGCTTCCAGGTTTTCAATGGTGGTCTAGCTTCAACTGACTCATGATTTCAACCTGTGAAATTTCTAAAACTCTCCACAAAACCCATTCTGATATTAGATATCAATTGAAATTCTCAAAAGAGAATGTAAACTTTCCGTTTGAATTCATTTATCACCAGCTCTTACATGCCAACAAATATATATATATGCGCGTACACATGTTTCATGGACTATAAATTTCTTACAAAACGATTGAATTGAAATTCTACTGATCAACATAATTCAATCATCATTAACATTCTCTTATACCAATGAAGAGAATCTACACACGAAGTATATCTCTCCCACCTAAATAAACATGTGGTCTGGACTAATTACATATGCAATAACACGACAATAATAATAATTAGTAGATAAATACCTAAATATTAAAACGGAACTATATAAAATGTTATGACATATCTATGAGTAGAGAATAATAATAATAGAAAGCTAGGGAAGCTAAAAAAAGTAATTAAGTCACAAGAAAAAGGTGAATACACTGCAGAAAACCTACATGACAACTACCAAGTGTACTTTTTAATGATATTTTTATATTACAGGGAATGAATCATAGTTAATTATGGGATGGAAAGATGACATTTTTTAATTACGCAAAAAATATACATTAAACACACAATTCAGTAACCACCTATGAGCTATGAAATTAAGAAGTAAAGATATATGTTTGTTGGGTGAGAGGCTATTCAATACAATTTAGTAATAACCAAATAAATCTTGATGTACTCAGCTAAACGAATCAGAATAGTTGAGTTACGGTTTGGACCTGCGGCATGATGGTTTGAAGTTGAACACTTTCACTGCTATATAATGGTCACAGTGAACAAAAGAAATGTAGTAGTGCTATAAGCCATGTACGACCCCTTGATCTCTGTAGCCGCACTATAAGGTCTTCAAGACTACTACTAAACTAGTTTACTTTCGAGATAAATTAGTTTTCTTCCACAATGCAGAAAGTGGTTACCGACCACACACCTCTAACACCATTCGAGATAATCTTGTTACATGACACTACTGAAAGTCATGTGTAGCACTGCGTAATTTAATGGTTAAAGCATTCCACTTTCAAAATCAGTAGATAAATGGTTGGATCCCCTGCATCATCTACTTCAGTTTAGGCGGTTAAGTAGTATCGCTAGCTCTCAAAGCGAACAATGTGACTCAAAGCTGAATACATAGACTTGTACTCAGTAGTAAATAAGTTAAATTAATTCACACCAGTTACATAAAAACTTCTGAACAAGATTTACAATTAAAAGTTAGTGAATGAAAAAAGTATGAAAACTTATTCACATTATCATACAAACTATACGCATGAATACACACCTAGATCCATATTGTCATCTTCACTGATACAATTTTCTTCAACTGATGACAATGTACCAGGAGAGTTTATTGACGGGCCGGCACCAGCAATACTAGGAGCTTTCTGAGTTGTAGATGAAGAAACTGATGATGATTGACCCATAAAACTTGAACTCAAATTATCAGCATTTGGACCTAGGCACTGAGAATCGTTAGAACGATCTTCTTGGCAAGCAGACACAGGAATTGGATAATCACCCATACTAAGTGACCTAAAAAGTTATGATATTAAAAAAAAGTTCGATGGTATATTTTTAAAGGAAAAAAACTTGACACTTCAGATAATAATTATAGAAGTTACGCAAGAAGCATACTTAACGGTTTACATTGTTGGAAAAAAAGACAACTTTATCAAACGCTTGTATAGAAATAAAGAGATCAGAGAACAACCTAATCTTCCCAATTACTGCTCATACTCTTACCGCCTCTACCACTACAGGATTTGAATCGACAACTGCATCTCTGTGCTAATGTGGTATGGCAACTCGAACTGATGTATGTACTTACGAAGTTCTACGTTGTTACTGACTGCATTAACTAAAATTCTATTTCGTTAGTGAGAAAAATATTAAATTATTTGGTAAAAATATATTATTCCAAATAAATATCGAATATTCCGAATAAATATCGAAAATTTAGAATTTCTGATGAACTCGAACAACATAAATAAAGCGGAGATTATAAGTGACATGACTCAAAACTGGTTACAATGTTGTAGATGTTTTATTCATTTGAAGTTTAATCTTCAAATTCAATATTTTCTACATTTTGTTTCTATTTACGATTGTACTGATTTATTTTGACACTTGCTTTTTAGATTTGTAGTTTCCTCTAAGTCTATCTCTCTGGGTGTGTGCTAATATGAAAATGGGAAACTTTGATTCAGTAAACTTGTCTTATATCTTATACTGTTTATGGTTAACAATTGACTTAAAAACAATAGATTATTTGCATACCACAGCTTCGCATTAAAATTGATCAATCTACAGAACATTCGATTTACTTCACATGAGAATTACTATTCAATGGAAGTTCATATGAATGTAAATGAAAATCATAGTCGAAAAATTACGAACATAAAATATTTATGATTTGTTTCTAAGATTCATTATTGTGACGTAGAATACGGGATTCAAACTGAGTCTACTCAAATGATCTGACCACCTAGTCTCCAAATTTAGTCAGTGGAACAAAAGAAAAGATAGGAAGATAAACCGAAACAAAAAAGAAAATACGGAGTTTATTCATTACATATTAAAAACCGGCAAAAACACTACTCATATACGTAAGTTGTATTTGTTATGGATTAATCTTAGTCAAGGTATCACTGAAACCAGGGATCATTGGGAAGTTGTTTTCATTTAGTATGACACTCCTCGGCAGTGAGCCGCGAAATACCACCAGTGATTGGATTTGGACTCAAGACCCTTATGTGTCGTGGTGAATTCCTAACTAACAGAACCCCTTGGTTGACGTCCGATGGTACAATTCCAACTTCAATCAATTTACAATTAAGCGCAGAGATAAATCACTTACACACTTTACGTGTCCTAAAAATTTGTCTGGATTACTCAATTAACTTATTCAAAGTCGATAAAAAAATCAATGGTGACTCCAGTTACCATACATGTACGAATAATAAGAGCATGCAAAATAATTAAATTAAAACGAGGCTTTAAGTCGTTATTACTTAAAATCTAGGTTGAATGACGTGATAAGATAGCCTTTAGTTAATGGCATTTGTCATTCCCTTAATCGTTAGTTCTATATTATGATTGGTAGTATTTTGTCCCTCTGCTTTTCACTTCGTCAATTTTCCTCCCAATGTTCGGATGAAAAATATAGTGATATACACTTGTACAGGGTCCTACAGCGTTTGTAACTGGTAGATGGATATTTTACTGATATATGGTGAAAGTTATCACCATATAAATATAGGGAAAATAAAACAACCCTCTGTAATAAGTCTGAGAAATTAATTCTTTACTATCTTCATGACACTATCCAACCAAAATCCTATTTCAAATCATCTTGTAACAACAAAAATCGAACGACTTAAAAAAATTGAACTTTATATATATATATATATATATATATATATATATTCAGTGAATTTTATTAGACAAGCATTCTAGAATCTAAAAAAACAAACCTCGTTGTAGCATTGTGAATGTGATTTGCTACACCTAAACTGCGAGCGAAATCACGACCATCACCGCTAAGACTGGACACTACATTCATAAGAGACGATTGATAGCCTGTATGAGGAGGAGCTGGGGGCGTTCCAACTAAATTGGGGGGTCCACCCAGAGTCATATTTTCAGCAGCCTGTAGATATGGGATTAAATATAGTATTCAGCAGTTTACGGTAAACAAATACAATGATTATTGTTTATGTTGTACACATATTCTTTCGTAGTTATCATAATTCCAAATGAGCAGTCTACAGAATGCATCATAAAAACTCAATAAAGTTACATCAAATTACTTATAGAATAAAAATGTAACCTATTGGGTAGGAATAGCAGGTTGACCGATGAAACAGTAAACCTTCATTAACTGAAGTGGCTCAAACTATTAAACATTCTCAGTCAACCCTTACTCCGATGTTATCTTAGCTAGCATAGGAGTAGGTTAACAAAAAGACTGAAGGTGTGCAAAGTAATATATTGTGTCAGCCAAAGAAGTCACTAACCACTGGTCTCATCCATATGGAGAGATGAAGACCTTTTGGATGGAGTTTGGGTGGCTAACATAATCTACGGTTGACGATTTTGAGTGTCGAGGACCGAAATCATTCATAGTGGTGCAGGAAATCTATTTATTCTGCATATTTCTGTTAAAAGTGAGTGTTAGCATTTTTATTTATTTAAACACATAAACATCGGTACAAGGGGGCACCAGATACATATGCGCCACACTTTGTCATTCGATTTTTATGGGAGTTGAGATATAGCTCGAGTCAGTCAGTCAGTTACAACGTAGGGCCAAGCACACACATGAATCGGTCCAAGTTGCCACACCTCATTAGCACAGCAAGACGAACACCGGACTCATAGAAGCAGTTAACTCAATAGTGCCCGGGTGCCCAGACCGAAGCAGGTGGTTTTATTAGGAGGCCACACCCGGAGCCTTTGACCTGAAGGTCTAATCCGCAAGGCACTGGAGCAACTTTAGGAGATTCAGTCTCATGCTAGCCGGTGACCGACATTGGGTTCATACGCCTTTTGGTTCCCTCGGGATCCTGGAGCCCATATGCACCATTGGTTTAAAATCATGGTTTTCCAACTTCCCTAGGTGGATCTTCCATATCCAACCAACCCGGTTAAAGCACCGGAGATTCGCTTTGCACCCTCTCGATTTCGTAAAGAGCACCCTCGCCGCGAGAAGGTAGTGAGTAGGACTTCCCTGGCAGTGGTTGTTAACGCGTGGCTATGTGAGAGCATTTCGAGAGTTTACTCTCCCCACCCTCGATCGTACCAGGACATTTGGGGCATCATTTTATACTTCTTAATATTCGATTTCATTCGTTTCTTTTGATTTTTTGTTTATCACCACCGTTAAAACAATTATTTCTAGTGCTTCATCTTTGCTTTAACTACGCCTGGGGCTCCTCTGGGGTCACTAATATACTGAAATTTACATTAGTAATGTGGTACTATTACAGTTAGAAGAATGAAATTTACAACACTAGGTTTTTTTTACACACACATTCATATTTGTATTTTGCTGAAATTGATACCCACATGCATGGCGTAATACTGATGTTGGTACGGAAATACATAAGCTACTATCAAGGAGATAAATAAAACGTACTGATACCATGTGGGTAATAAACTACTTGCAAATATAAGTGAGTATTTAAAATTAGGTGGATGATTTACCTCACGAAGGCTCACACATGGTGGATGCGTCCCACCGAGTACATTTCCGACATTTTCTAAACCAGCTATTGCTCGACTTGCTACAGCATACGCGTCAAGTGCATCACCTCTGGCTAGAGCAGCAGCTGTTACAGCATCTGTAGCAAGATGTTGTCTGGGTTGTTTAGATGGAGGAGCTAGGAGGGCAGCTAAACTATTTGGTTCTGAACCACAATCATCTCCCATTATCATAGAATCATTTAGTCCAGCAGAGGAAGGATGATGACTCTGTAAAGCATTTAGATGATGTTGTTGTTGAAGACCTTGTTGATACTGATTATGCATAGAGGAGTATCGAGAATGATGTGAACCAAAAGATGAACCTCTTCCATAACGTTCAGTAGATGATTCTGTAACACCACGATGTGTGTTGTCGTTATTGACTCCGGAAGTCCCATTGTTAACTGTACGAGGAACCATAATTGGTGGGAGAACTATAAATAAACAAAAATTAATGGGTTTATTTAAAAAAAACATTTATGGATTACTAGGTTTTAATTATTTTAAATATTACCAAAAATAGGAAACAAAGACATGACGGAAAGTATCATCCGTCATTTCAATCCGGTTTTATTCTAACAATGAAATTATTTAATGAAACCAAGACCAATTTAAATTTGGTTCACGAGTCTAGTGATGAGATAAAGATAATTTATCAAAAATAGCATAGAACATGACATAGAACACAACTGAAATCAAGGATTATTGATAATATACTACAGAAAGCGAGAAATTCTACAGACGGATATAAATAAACTCACAATGACAATAAACTTCTTCAGTCCTGTTTATTTACACAGCTTTTGAGTACTGTAGTTTACGTGAATTTGTAGTACTAACTGGCTGTCCACACTGGTGCACTTTGGAGTAAGCACCAGACTTGTGACATACTGGTTGAAACTTAATGCTAGTCGATTCTAATAGGTTAGATTTTTGGCATTTATGACTATTGCCTGTTAAGTCTAATAACCAGCTTTTATCCGAAATACAAGAACTCATATCTCGGGGTTTAGCTATTGAAAATAGTTATATTGAGAAGAAAGATTGTAGTGTGAAATGAGAATGTAAACATTTATAAGATGAATTTCTGAGTATTACTTGTCAAAAACGTTTGACATGGGATAACATCATTTCGAAAAACATTCTAAGTAAGCAAATAGACTTGATGACAATATTTTGGATTATCACGGCTCATGATAAAAGTATAAATGAATATTTAATGACTGTATGATATAACCTTAACTGTGTAAGCTTGTATAGAGTGGGCGGAATGGAATTCTAATGCTTAATAAATAATAGAGAATCTAATATCAAACGATACAAAAAGTAAGCGGATAATTAGTGCAAAAATTCAGAAATACAGATGGAAAATGTGCATACAAACTCTATATGCATATAATGCATGTGATACTCGTAAGGTTATAAGTCTGTCAGTGATTGCTTTCAAAGTATTAACTAGCACATCGTAATGCTCAAATCGTGTAAAATGCGTGAGAAGTTGACCTGCTTTTTCTGCTTGTCGTTTTATGATGAGCAGTCGTAAATAGTCAAGAATTTCGTGTAGATGATTAGCTCTGTTAGTTTGAATAGTAATATAACAGCGAAGACTAACTTAAAGATGACTTAAGTCAGATTTCCTTACCACAATGTGAAGTACTACTGGGACCACAGGCATATTAGTCTGACCACTAAACGTATTGGCGAAAAAGGCTGTAGGGGGTTGTACTTCTGTATATTCGAAAAACATGGTAATTTCTAGATAACGATGTTTAAAAAGTGTGTATTTGATTACTTTAAATAACATCTCCAAACCCTAATCTTCCCGATTACTGCTTATACTCTTACTACCTCTACCACTACGGGATTTGAATCGACAACTGCATCTTTGTGCTAATGTGGCGTGGCAACTCGAACTGATGTACGCAGGTACGAAGTTCTACGTTGTTACTAACTGACTGACTGCTGAGAAAGTGTTTCAATATAACATTTCAAAATATCCGAAAATGAAACCCTTTGACTTAATGAGTGTATTTTCCATACAATATTATGTTTGAAAAATGAATTAACCATTTTATTACAGAAGTATATCCTGTGCTAATTTTGGATTAACAAACATTTACGAAAAACAGAACTGAAAACTTTAGCACATACTCTACACGTTGTCCTCCAGTTACTTTATTTTGAAAGTTTAACAAAAAACAATCGATCGTTTTTAATAAAGTTCTACTGGTGATGATGCAAGTAGTGAACCATAGTTACCATAAATTACGATAAAGATACTACGAACACAAATGTCGGTCTTCATAGAACTATCGATCTCATAACCAATTAACAAAACAACGTTTACGAAAGATAGTTATGAAAATGATATTTTGAAAACCATCACTTTGAATCAACTGCATATCAGAGTGCATTTTGAGAGCTCAAGAGTGCACTGAGAACGAGCCCGTCAGGAGACAAACAAGATGTAGACCTATTCAAAGATAGCAACCAATGTTGAAAATGGAAACAAAACATCTTATACGAACCTGGATTTTCAATCCTTCGATAGTGATAAGGGTTGATACAAACCTCATCGCGTTTTGATTGGAAAGAATATTCACAAGTAGCGATAGGCCTTAACTCGTGCTGAGTATGCAGGTCTGGCCATCGCCAAAGTTGGCAGTAAAAAACGTGTGGTAAACCTTTTTTCTGGGCAACCTAGTGAAAATCAAAGGCAAATAAAAACAATGTGTGAGAGAAAATAATTAGTGTATCTAATAACAACACGACAAAATACGACCTAACCATGTATAAAATAACGAGGCACATGATTGAAATTCCATAAAAATTCATATCATTTCATTATGACGGACCAGCGTGATGTAGTTTTCTAGTCTTAACGATCCGCACTCAAAAACGTACAAAAATAAAGTATTTGAAAACTACATGGTTACAATTAAGAAAAAGGAATGCAGAAACAGATAGACACGAAAACACTTGATAAAAGAACTATGAACTAGTTAATACAAATTATTCAACTGACCTAGCTATGAATCCGACGATTTAATGAACTCATTAATCGTTGACTGACCAAACAGCTGGCTATTAATCCATATTTACGTCTCATACCATTTTAGATAACTGACTTCGTTCATCAAAACAGACGATTATGATAGTATATTATGCATTCAAGACGTAATCAAGAGTCAAAGTTTGGTTACTCAGCATCTTTTACTTAGTATAACTTAATGATTTATTGTGAGAGCACTTAGAATATTACTAATCAGTTTCACGAATATTCAAACCCACGGATATATTGAGCGTAGAACGTACGAAATCAGTTAACAGTAAGTCATTTTCCTGAACGGTCAGATGAAAATCTGATATACTTTTCTGTATGGAGCTTACTGAAGCTTAAATTAAGTAGAACGTTTATGGGACAAGAAACTTTGGATCAAATAGCACTTAAATCTAATAGATTCATTGTATCTGGTTGATTCAACTTAGAAAATTATTAATTAAGGAGTCAGCAGTAAGTCAATGAAGCATTATTAGGATGATAGCCAGATGGGTCGATAAGTAACCGGTAACAGTTAAAGCTAGATAGTTAATAGATTTTGTTCTTACAACAAAGGTCGACACAGTAATTATTGAAAAGAATGTCCACTATTTGAACAAATAATCTAAATAATAGATGAGGAGCATGTATAACCTAGTCAATATAGATTAATGAATTATTGACATACGGCAAAAGATGTAAGAATATACTCGCTTTAGTTCTTCAATAACAAAAAAACAAGTGAGACCATTAAGGGTTGAAATACTTGTATTTCTTGATGTGAAAGCAGAACTTCACCTGGTCGATTAATAAGATTCACGACAGTGCTACTGAGGTATTTACTAAAGTAGGTCAATCTACGGAAGGTTCTTGAACGAGGTATTACTTGTTCGGTCGGAATTTACTAAGAACTGTTATTTGTGTCGACTAAGCCAAATGGTATCTGTCAATGCTGCTTGATCTCGCTTCCTCTGAAATTTAATTGCTATCGTTCGATTTCTAAGTAATTGGCATCCTACCAGAAGACAGGGAAATTTTCAGACGCGATGAGTGACAAGCAAGTACTGTTCCATATGAGTTTCAGGAAGGGTCTACACTAATGCCAAATCTATATGCAGCTGAGCGCCTTGACCAATTTAATTATCTTAAGAGTCATATCGGCGCCGTTAAGTGACAAAACCTTGACACATAGATCCGCTTGATTAAGGATACGTCACATTAATTACAGAGATAATTAAACTCAACATAGGTGTATTAAGCCGTTTTTAATTAATTTATCACTGTAAATACAATCTCTGGAACTGAAAAGTAGGTAGAAATTACAAACCAGTCGAGATTTTGATAACACAGTGAGCGAGGTGACAAGTACATGGTTAAATCATACCTGGTTATCGCTTACATTAACGTGTTATTGCGTCAAGAATAGGTCAGGAAGACTGGAGGTGGCCATACATGACGAGTTAGGGGGGTATCAAGATGCTGTTGTGAAAAAATTCGGGAGGCGGAAGTTTTCTGGATGAGGTTGGAACTTTAAGTAGCATGCATGTTTCATCGATTATAAACTGAAGGACAGACATTTTCCGGATAGTTTTCCTAGATTGTCACACCACTCCTCGCTGGACTGATAACTGTCCGCCACATTTCATATTGCTGTCTCTTCGTCCTGCTGATAAAAAGTATTTCACTGCAGACCGGTATATGATTTTGCTGTAGCAAATGTTACTTGTGTGCCTGTGTGCTTTCCGGAACCAATCAGGCCAACAAATTGTCACGTAATCGAGTATCAAGTGGGTTGGTACACTAATCCTAATGACTGTTAGACTAATTATGCCGAGATAATTAGTCCTAAAGCATGCTAAGTATCAATTATTTAATACATTACGTAGAAAAGCCTGTCAATAGACTTTATTCGTACGTTTTATAACCTACAAAGCCTGAATCTCATCTTTTTAAGGTTATCAGGTGAAAACCACGTGGAAGTCGACGTTTTTATCTAATCACTGTTATAAATACTTTACTATCTTATGGTAAACTGGAGCAATAAGTAAGACATTAAATAGAACTACAATAATGACATTCAGCTGGGAGTGATCAAGGAGAATTTGAGCAAAACTACTGTGATTATATGATATGTCAAAATGACTGATTTGACAGTAACTAAATAACTGAACAACAGTTTTATGCAGATGTGATCTGTATTCCAGCATGGTTTTCTAATTCTTCCATAGGAACAGACATTGCAACTTTATGGTTAAAAACCCCACTTTATAATGCTTTCTTTGAAGCTATTTTTTATTGACGTTCCAAGCTATGCTTTTATATTAATGTGTTTTAAGCTACGTGGAGGCTTGAGGAGGAAAACCAAAATAATGAACAGCTATAGTTCATTGGTATGTTAATTGAGGCCCCTTGACAGGACACTATAGCCGTTAAAACGTTTATTATTTTTACAGTGAAATTGACCTTCAGAAAACGTCTTGCCGATTATTTTAAATTTGATATCCAAACAGCCCCACGTACATGAACTTACCTGTAGACGCCCATCCAATGAACGAGGTATTGTAACACAGCGTGTAGATGGATCTTGACTAACCAAAGCACGTTCCAACTCGTCCAATTGTGTCCCGTTTTTCAACCTCTTGACTAATGACTTAACAGCCTTTTCCTTCCACTTTTCTTCTTTGTCTGAACCTTCTTTGATGTAACTTATAAGTCGCTTTACAACTGGAGGTGGACTTGTAAAGAGACTCATAATTTATATTTATATAGGACTAATTCTATCACTTTTAGTGATTATACAACAGTGTTCGTTTATAGAAATTCACGCATGTATCCTGAATTAGATGTTTTGACAAATCATTAATCCCTCGAGACGGACTAAGGTCAAGAGTAGCGCCGTAAGAAAACCGCCCTTGAGTACAAGTAACTTAAGATAGGAAAAGTTGTTAGATTTCAAACTTCAAACTGAACTTTGTAGAAGTAACGTATTATTAACTTTTTTATAGTTAGAGTGTGGTTTTAGAAGATGATTCCCAGCTGTATTACTGTTTTAATTCGTCTGAAATTAGAGGGAAAAGACAATAATTGGAATGGCGATTCATTTGGTTCAGGGCGGAATAGAAGAAGATTTCACACAACAGGCCTCCTTAGCTGGTATCAATGGACAACCGACATTGCCAGGTAGGAACCTAGGTACATTTGACGATAAAAGAAAAATTATTAGTAAATTATAGAGAGGTACTGTCCTTAGTCCTTAAGAATATGTCAGGTCATTTCGTGAAAGACTCCTAGGGTGTCACTTGAACTGGCTAAGCTGGCAGAGAATTCTAGCGCTCAGCTACTCCTAAAGAGTATAAAATATGCCTTAAGTCTGTTGTGCTCTGTTGTATTTCCAGTTTCTGAGTGTTACAACTAAGGTTTGTACTGGGACTGAGCTGAGGTGGGTATTTAAAGGGTAGTCCAGAAGTGTTTATGATACTGCAAGTTGTAGCGGTAAATAAATACCCAAAATAAATAGCTCTGTAAGTTTTTGACATTTGATTCTGACCATATGTTTTAACGGACTCACCTAGCTAAAGGCGATCGGTCATTCATCCGCACCAGATCATGTGTGGCAACGCCGTACTCAACATCTACTGCAATCGCTAGCCAGACTAGATCAGACAATTCCGATATATTGACAATCGTCAAATACAACATCTTATTTCCTCGATTCTGTGTTTTGATTTCTCTTGATGGCTACGAGTTATATTAGGCGTTACTGGTAAAAGCGTTGTCAAACACTGAATACCTGTGCCATCTTCAAAGTCATTAGAAAGTCAACTTTAAGGCGACTATACTCCAATGCGTAAAGGTACAGTGATTTGAGGTGCATTTCATAAGGCCTGAAATTGAGTCCCCAAACATATTTCATCGCTCACCGTTTCATACGTTCCAATGTATCTTAATCTTTTGGTAGTGATGGGAAAAGCACTATGTTTTTTGGTGGAGTTTTGTACCAGCTCAGAGAACAAAACTCCACCAAAATCATCCACCTGAGCTACAAATCTTCTCCACCATCTAAAAAACACTATGTTTCCATTATTTAAATGGGGTCGAATAAAACTGTTGAAGAAGTGGAAATTTCTGCCGTCGAACAATGTAAGGTATGCTCGAGAGAAATTTTTGTCGCAGTAGGTGTAGGACTTCAGGTCACTAAGTGCCAAAACTCCTGAACGTTTTTCATCATAGGATACCTCTAGAGAGGAGTTACCCAGGTTGTATTCGCCATCTGCAGCATGTCTCACATGGACTACTTTACACCTTGAAATGTTAAAGACGAGCCTTTCTTTTATTATCACCTTTGTGCACTGCTTCCTTGCTTGTTTGAACTGCCTATACGAGCTGTTGTCACTAGGTCGCTTATGTTCCTCCCAGTAGTGCGTTTTTCATCTTAGCGATCAAAAAGTCCGATTCCTGACGACTGCGGCTTCCTTATAATTTTTGGAACCATCTGCAAAAGAGACTGTTCTGCAGTATATGAGGCCATGTCCAGTGGGAAGTTCTACTGAGCGTCCACATCAAGTTATGGGTTGGATCCACAGTTCACATTCTATAGATTGGCCTGTAAGGCCCACACATCCAACTGTTTGTAATTCCAACGCCTGTTGTTAGTAGGATATTTTAGCTCACTTTCGTTGATAAAGTTGAAGGCTGTGATCATTTTCACTCAGGAGAACCGTGTTTGTGAGATTGTCAATTAGGAATTATTTGTTTGTAAAAATGCAGTACAAGCGTGACGGCGTCTGACTACTCCTTGAACGATTTGCTTGCTTCACATTTTCGAATAATCCCAGATCCTTGATAAGGTCGATGAACTGGACCTCAGTGTATTTGTCACCCCCAATGTACATGTGTTCGGAAAAGTTTATTTTAGGAAAACTGGTCTTTTAGTATCAGGATATTAGCGTATCCGAGACATGTAGAGAGGGATAACCCTGAATACGATTATCATACTCGGCATCAGCGGTGAGCTCCATGTAGATGACCCCAACTAGACACCTCGAGCTGTTAGACAGTCTTACAGACACAATACAAACTGACCAAGATAAATAAACTCTGAAATATACAGTTGATGTGCTACCAAGCAAGATTGTAGATACAGAGCTGCTTCGCCCTATATTCCTGTTGTTCTGCTGCTGCAAAACAAAGACATGCCGAGAACTGGCAGCCTCTGACCCGTTATTTGAGATGTTCAAGCTTCAGATATTCCTGTTGGATGAATATTATCGGCCCTATCTAGTTCATGCAGGTCAGCCATTGTGCTCAGTAAACTCCCACAGTTCGTACATTGGCATCTTATGCTTTCGATATAAAACGCGTAAACTTCCTCGTCTTTATGTGAATGAGCAGGCAGCCTACTTGCATATGGTTTTCCGAGTTGGTAGCCTCAGTTCATTCTGTGTGTGTTCATGTCTATTCCAATTGATAGCCGACATCTGTTGGCAGAAAATGGTTCTACAGTGGTAGCCTCCATTTGATGGTGTGGGAAAGTTACCTTTATAAGCTGGGGTCTAGAACTTTATAATGTTTCGAATTATTTGAGTTATAGTATGAACTGGGAATCCCAGCAATAACGCAATTGAATCAAGAAGTACTAGACAAGCACGAACGAATGTATTGTATTTAGAATTCGAAATCAAGCATTCAGCAAGTGCAAAAGAATCATTAGTTAATTCAAACACCACAAACTTACATCCTTCTACGCTAACCGCACTAGTTGATTAATTATGTTCTTGAGTTTCAAGGACTGTCTTGTGTATTTCTATTCCAGGATACCATAGTCCATTTTCTGAGAAACCTTGAAGAATGATATTTCTTACGAAAATAAACCTCTCGCGAGATTCTCTAGGGATGTTTCTGATGAGATTGAGCTCAGAACGTGGCATACCAGACAGTATTCTTATGTCCACCATTAAATAAGCAAGAACACCCAAATGTTTCGGGATGGCTTTCAGGTCCAGGTTTGCTGATTTCAGATTCAAACTATTGCATTGAGCACAGAGGACATACAGTGTATGTTACTTCTGAGAGTGTCTAGTCTTCTATTGAATGAGTCAATCATAGGAGCTGGAATGACTTTTTGGGGTAACGGGTTACAAGTATTTATTACTTGATGTGGTAACCCACATACCACGGGCATTTTGTTCGTTCCTGCATTTTTTTAACCCACCTAGTACGTCTGTGGAATTATGGTCTGGTCGATATTAGTACATTTATATCTGCTACTGTAATAATAAACGTAAGCTCAAAATTGTAGGTTTTCATGATGTGACTATAATTATGGTCTTATTCGGTATCAGTATTACTATAATAATAGACATAATCTCCAAATTGTAGATTTGTCATGGTGTGACTACCTTATCTAAAAGATCTCACGTGAAAGCCACATAATTGTCTAGACCATTTTCTTCTGTCATGACAATCAGTTTTATGATGCTTGGCACTTCTGAAGAACACATATGAGTCGGGGATAGATTAATACGTTTGGTATGAAAATGATTACGTTACATAATGACCCCGCTTACAAGATAGAGCAATGCCATTCCGATTCATTCTCTCGCGTTCACCATTCTCTGACATCCCTGATCATGTAGGAAGAAGAAGAGACACTAAATCAGGTTCAAAATCAGTTCATCGTATTTTCTGCATCAAAATCAGAGCACGTTTCAATCTGCGGTAGGATGGAGAAGAGGGGCCTATCTTCTTAAGCTTCTCTTTGTATGGTAGATCGAGAGTCTTGAAGTTGCAGGGGTAGCTGCCTTCCACACTTTTTTCAGGATATCCGAGTCACCTTTAAAGCAGGAACTTGCATCATGAATGCAGTTTCCATATTTGGATCTCGTTAAGGTTGTGTATACTGTAGTTAGCATATTAGTATGAAATTTTAGTAAGTGCCCGTCTTAAAGCCCATTGGGTTCTGAACCTCTTAGTTGCGAACTCGCCCTAGTAGGCTGCGGTCTTAAGGCCACGTCTCACTGTCACCCCAAGAATCTTATGAGACTGGGCTATGAGCACAGACCCTTCTATGCTGCACCTATCTACCATTGTATTCACAATGTGCATGTAGAGACACTTGAATACGTCGCTAGTCATCTGTGATTTTCTAAACCAGCTAATTAGAACATCCAAGTCTCCTTAAGATGCATATGCATCTCCATTTCTCGTCCTTTCTTACTAGATTTTTACATCTTGAGGGCATAGTAACATTGAGGACTCAAATATACTCGAAATTTATTTACGTACACTACATAAAGTAAAGGACTTAGGACTGAGTCGTGTGGTGCTTCATTAACTAATGGTCTCGAGGATAAGCATTTGAAATTTATTCTTGACTTTTGTCTATGATGCATCAAGAAATTCTAAATACATTTTAGGAAAGGCCCAGCAATTCCTTGATTTTTTAGCTTCAAGGGCAATCTATTCAGCAGAATAGAAGACCTGTAGAATTATGATCTACTATGATATTAGTACTGCTCTAATAATAGACCTAATCCCAAAATTGTAGATTCGTCATGATATAACTGCCTAATCTATAAGATCTTACGTGGAAGTCACACCATTGACTACACCAACTCACTGTATCGTATCAATTACCAATACCTGATGAGGAACAAGGTTAGGATAGAGAAAGAACAATATATTTAATATGAATAGAAGATATGAAGTAACACTAAGATGGACCACGTCTGCATGGACGAGCCATGCCACTCGATCAACTGCAGTCCATTCAATTCATTCTCCGCGCCTTCTCCATTGTTAGGTATTTCCCCGAGTTAAATATTGAATATCTATTCTCTGAGTAGTCTCGTGTTCGGCTTTGTGGATTGTGCGGTTATTGTCCAATGCCACTACACTACTCTCCCACCAGAATCAACGTGATGTTGGTTCGATACCAAATTGG